CCTATCAATCCGCAGCTTTCGCACATATTTCCTCCAGAATTTCTAGTTGTTTTCGATCGATTTCAGTGTAAAAAGTATCAAATTTTCGACGAGAAATTCCAAATACTTTGTTTATATAGAACTCACGTTGGAAATCCAACGTACTATCTGCCGTTAGCCAATCACAGGCCTGAATCAATTCGATTTCTCCAGAGCTATGCCCACCCTTAACCTGCGAACGGGCATGCTCGGGGAACGAGATTGATGCAGCCTCTGCCTGACAACGGCCTGCGAGCAGGCTAATTTTCTGGCCAATAAACGCGCTGTATTGGCTGAAGGCCCCGTCTTCCGGCCAGTCAACTGCATGTTTTTGCATAGAAAAATGATGACACGTTGCACCGCTGAGTGGCCCTTCTGGTACTGATCTTTATTCTGTGGTCGAGGGTCGAATGTCGAGGGTCAAAAGTCGAAAGCCCAGGGTCGAAAGTCGAGAGTCTTTCGTCAAGGGTTGAAAATGGAGAAAAAATTCTCTCATTAATATTTACATTTCTAGAATACTACATTCTTCGCATCTGTTGCCAAATTTTAAAGGTTTTCTTGATAACCTCGGGGATATGTGTTTATTCACATATCCCCTCGTTGCCTCAAAATAACCTATTATTGGAAAATTGGGCGGTAAATTCGAAACGAAGTTCGTTACGATATTTCCTCGATATTTGCCATTTTTTTTTATATTGATACCGATATTTTCCCAACTCGAGCAACCATAACAATATAAACATTGAATAATATATGTCAGTGATTGCAACGTACCAACATAACCAGAAACTCCGATCCTGCCCTTGGGCCATTAATATAGCACCATGGAAATTTTTATATTTAGGCTTATTGGCAACAAAACCATATTCGCCTATTTAGGCTTTTTAGTAACAAAACGTCCCCAAAATTTTTCCAAATACTAGTTTGAGATAAAGAAAGAAATCAATCGTTCTTTAAAATATGCTTGCGTACTTTAATTATAAAGTTACCTTATATTTTACATTACCAGAATATCAGTATTAAAGTATTTTTCACCTTTTTACCGCACTTTTATATACGATCAACTAAAAAGTTACTGAAATTACGACCGATGTTGTTTAAGAAGGGACTTTCCCAAGGAATTTTCGAATTTTCTTGAAATACATAGTGTATCAAAAACAAAACTGAACAGATTTGAAATTCCTCTCAATTTCGCAAAACAGCTATTAGTATCCAGTTTTATATATATATAGTTTCTTTGGGTACTTATGTAGAATAATGAAAAAAATTTCTCGAACTCAAATTTTGTAAACCAGGAATGTGGTTTTTTTTCTCCATCAAACTAAAAATGGCTTGCGCACGAAATTTAAAAGCTTTAATCGTATTTTGAGTTAATGGGTGGAAACTTTGTTGGGTTTTTAATTACTGTACAAAATTAAAGGGATGAAACTAAAGCAAATTGTCTGACATTTTGTAGAGTAATTAAAAACCCAACAAATTTTCCATCTATTAACCCAAAATTCGATTAAAGCTTTTAAATTTCGTGCGCGAGACATTTTTAGTTTGTTGGAAAAGAAACACTAGCATGGTTTAGACAATTTGAGTTCGAGTATTTTTTTTAATTATTCTACATTATGGGTACTCAAGGAATCTATATATAACAAAAACTTGATACCACGAGCTCTTCTGCGAAATTGAGAGCAATTTCAAATCTGTTCAGTTTTTTATGCACCCTGTCCTTGTATAACAAAATTAGTCTAAGAATTTTAGTTGCCTGACTATAATTTGCTTGTAAACAACGTAAACATAAACTTGTTCTGGAAATGTCGAGTGTCGCTAGTACTGATATCGAAAAGGACGAATACACTCAATACAGTAAGTTCATGATAAAGCTCCTGCATGAAAGAGATAACGAATGATATCTTTGACAACCTGAAGTATGTTAACGCAACGCCATGAAATCGAAGCTGCGACAATCGAGAAGCTGCGAAAACCTTTGGATCTTTTCAGAGAGCTTGAAAAACAAGATTTTGTCAGGCATGGAAGACCTAGACGGGCTCTGGAAGTTGCTAGAAATGTCCAGGAACCAGGTGCAATTTCAGAAAATATCCACAAACTAAAGCAAGAAGAATTCAAGCATAGCCTATCGAAGGGAAGATGGCTGTGAAACTCATTAGAATAACAATATAACTGATTCTCTATGTTGGTCAACGTTTATTCATAAATCTGGTCCTTTACCGTCACGTGTGTATTGTATTCTTGCCCAATTAACCAATAGCAATGTTTTAGGAAAGTCACCTATCCGTGACTCGAACAACAGGGAAATTGGAAATTGCTATTGGTGGATTTGGTCAAAATACAATACACACGTGACGGTGAAGGACCAGATTTATGAATAAACGTTGACTAACATCATGATGAGTTATATTGTTATTCTAATGAGTTTTACAGCCATCTTCCCTTCGATAGGCTATGATTCAAGGACTTTCAAGACTTTATACGAACCCTATTACCAGCGTAATGGCAGATTTAAATTCCGGGAAATAAGAACCAGTTAAAGACCAACTCTGCATGGCCTCATTTCTAATTACCTATTACATTAGCCCGACATCGATCAGACGATGCGAGAGATTGCGAAACAATAAAGCAAAGCCTGCCCCGCGAAAGTGAAATTATTTAGAAAATATATGCATAATTATAGTTTCATTAGCAAAATTGCAATATCTAAAGCCTCTTGTGTGTCAAGGCATAACCCCTTGCCGCTCTAAATATTTGACGTCGTAGATACTTGAGCTATCGACTTATTTAGTCCCAGTCCTCTTGGCATCCAAAATGTTTGGCGATTCCCGAGTTATTTGTTGGGAATTATTATCAAAAGCAACAGATCATATTGTCGTTGGTAATAACGGAGTCACAAATTGGAGTATTTTGTTGTCCCAATATATGCCGCACTGACAAACAAATATTTATACATGATCTGTCGCATGTATACATCCCGCCAATATATTCACTTGTAGAAAAAAGCAAGCCATGTTAATTGTTTCTAAAAACCTATGTGGGTCGAACCTTGCTCGAACCCGCATTCCTGACTGTGAGGCGCCATGTTGACAATAGATAGCTTAAGATCTACGACGTCGACGTCAGCTAGGACGTCAGGGCTAAGCAAAGGACTGGGACTAGGACGTCGTCCTAAATAAATAAACTTCCACTTAAGATTCACGACGTCGACATTTAAACTATAACTATTTACATCCTTTTGAAAATGAATTTAAAAGAGACGTGTGAATCCATTACCGCTTGTTATGCTCTTGTATCCACGGCGATAAAACTCTTGTTGTGAGGTTGTCAACGTTTGGTGGACGACGAGCAAATTGAGAGACACACATGCACACTTCAAAAACTATTACCAATTTACTTCCCCTTGCCGCTCTAAATATTTGACGTCGTAGATACTTGAGCTATCGACTTATTTAGTCCCAGTCCTCTGCTTAGCCCTGACGTCCTAGCTGACGTCGACGTCGTAGATCTTAAGCTATCTGTTGACATGCATATGAACGTTTCCGCATAATCAACGTATTAATTTTCTTGCGAAAACTATTTTTCCCGCAAGCTTTGCTTCATTGTTGCGCAGTCTCTTACATCGTTTGATCGATGACATGAGAATGTGCGCAGGCTACTATTATAAAAGAACTTCACCCTGATATAAAAAATAGTTATTCTTTTACTGTATGTGGGTTTTTACTGTACTGCTGTATATCATTCATTTATCTTGTATTAACCCATACCGACCAACTTCAATTTTGACGTCGCCATGTTTGACACAACCACCTTGAACAGGTTGAGGTGCTTCAACACCACCAGGTTTACGGTCCGACGCTAGTTGTGGGTTGCGGACCAAGGTAAGGGCGAGGAACCATCTGGCACGAGCTTGAGCTGAACATGTCCATTTTCGCTCCCGGTTTTGTCCTTTCATACATTAAAAGAAATTTGCAATTTTCAGTCATTTTAGATTACAAACGGGAAATTGATACCCAAACACCCGATTTGGGTATCAATTTCCCGTTTGTAATCTAAAATGACTGAAAATTGCAAATTCCGCAAGGCTATATTATCCGCATTTTACAACATTTCGTAACGAAGCTACGGAATATTACTAATTTTGTGATGCGCTTTCAAGCTGTGATGAAATTTTTGTCTAGATCAAAATTTTAGTTAAAAGGTTAAAGGTCCATTTATGGTTGTAAAAAAGGTTTGTAAAATTTATGAACAATTCACGAGGTTTATTCGCACCCTATACTGTAAAGAAATTGTCAAAACTTACGTGTTCCGTCACTCAATATCTGACAGAAAACTCGAAGGACTGGGTTTCTATAAGCTATTTGCACGTGAAGATAACAGATGTACGCATTGAAACCTTTCAAAATAACAAAAAAAAATGTTATATAGACTGTAGCCTGCCGTATCGACTATAGTTTTACAATCGGTGTCTTAACAGTTAGACTTGCGCCAAGTCTCTCTTTCATTGTCATGTAGTACCGATGCACTATAGTGTAAACTACATGACGTAGTACGGAGGGGCGGAGCGAGAAAGAGAAACTTGTCAACTTCGGAAAATCTCGGTTCAAAACTGAACCGAAAATGCAAGACTTGCTTAATTGTTTTCCTTCAATTTCTTTCTGTATTATTTACTATAATGGATCTCGTGTTATTTACACTGTGCTAGATCAATACATATAAACAGTGACAGTGACAGAAAACAATTAAAGCAAGTCTTACATTTTCGGTTCAGTTTTGAATCGAGATTTTCCGAAGTTGACAAGTCTCTCTTTCTCGCTCCGCTTTCTTGACAAGTCTCTCTTTCTCGCTTTAGTAGATCGATACTACATGCATGACAATGAAAGAGAGACTTGGCGCAAGTCTATCGGTGTCTAGGCCCTTGGCTACGCCAATGTGACCAAGTCATGGAGCTCTCTCTTTCTATATATATACATGGATAACTATCTTCATTAATTCGGCCTTTGAGAAAAGTGAAGCTAACATGGCGGAAATTAACGTCGCTTTCATAAGTATCACCGTATAAAATGCTTGCTGAAACCAGTAAGCCTTATATATTTGGAGCGAGAACGTACACTTAATGTCACTTATGCAAGTTGGTTACCTCGATCAAACCGTTGAAAGCCATCGGGCATAACACTGTGATCAATTCTTGGCAACATCAGAGCTCCCACAGCCATTGTCCTCAGGATCCGAGATATAGCGGAGAAGACACCCATGGGAAGACCAACGAAAAACCAGAAATACGAGAACACCAAGTAGACGTTTCTGGGAAAAAACCCCCAACTTGATTAAGCTAGGGGATAATCTGTCTGAATGTGCAGTGATAGGGCATACGAATATGATTCACTGAAATAAAAAATTTTGTGGTGTTCCTGAGATGCTAGTTTCATATCTATTCTGACACTGCGGAGTATTTGTTAAGACTTTTTCGGGGTTTAATTAATGGATTTTAAGGTCAGTTTTAGGGGGCTTTTAAGGGATTTTATTTCGAGGTGTACGGGATATTTGGAGTGATCCCACGTTCCAGTGAGAATCTATACACAGTAAAGTACACACATACCTGTTATTTATAGATATGGCGTTTTTAGGAAAGTCGTAATCACGGAATATTGTCGCCGCGGTTATAAGCAGACACAAGTAGGTAAGAAGAGCCACGGCCATGAGAACACTGAAATAAAATGTGAAGAAGCAACATTTTTTTAGATGAATAAAATTTAGTGCGAGTGTTCATACGAGCCCAGCTAACCTGGAAACTCACCTGAGTGGCCTTTGTCAACGTATACGAAATTCAATAGATGATTCGAGCTATATATAGTCTAAATTTTGATCTCGGCAAGAAGAACAAAATCCATCACTACAGCTAGAAAGAGCATATTAAAATTAGTAAGATTGCAAAGTTTGGCCGCGAAATGTTGTAAATTTTGGATTAATTTGTATTACGCACGGGAAAATGCACCACATTTGGGCCGAAAGTGGTGCATTTTCCCGTGCGTAATACAAATTAATACAAAATTTGCAAATTTCGTAGGGCTATATTTTCCGCATTCTACAACATTTCGCAACCAAACTTTGCACTTTTACTAATTTTAACATGCTCTTTCTAGCTGTGGTGATGGATTTTGTTCTTCTTGTCCAGATCAAAATTTAGCCTATTGCTGGAATCATCCATTGTGTTCATGAGAAACGATATTGCAAAAATATTAACCCACTAAGCTCCATTGCATGGGCCCTAATCCGCCCTACGTTGTTACTTTACTCTGTCTAACGTCTGACGATTTTACTCGTGAAAGGAGGAAGGTCGTGCTCAATGGGTTAAACAGCGAAGAGAAAGGTCTCTAATACGAAGACAAGGCTTCACCCACCCTCCTTCTCCTAACCAGCCCACAACCCAATCACGAACGATGCGAAATGACAAACTGTAAAAAACCATGAAGATGACCCAAAACAGGAACAAGAGCAACAGGTAACCTGAAAAGATAGAACAAAGGTGTTAAAATCTCGCTAAACCTAAAATGACGGAGGGTTGGGCACCAAATGCATACATTTCAGTTGATGTCATGTTAATCCTGTCCTCCCCTCCCCTCCCTGTTCTTTTGATAGATCCCTGATTCCGCTCGGCCCCAGGTAAAGGAAGAACGATGAGCTGAGGAAGTCTAGGAGAGTGAAAAGTCCATCAATAATCACGAGTGAGGTGGACCTCCCATTGATCTTACTCGCATAAATATATACGACTTTTGGTATATGTAAAAAGCTGATCTTGGTAAACTTTTTCATTGTCAAACTTGCCAGATATGATGTCATTATATATAATATGTAAAATATTTTTTCTTTTATTTTGCCTACCAAAATTCACTCATTTCACATCATATCCGGTAATTTTGACAGGTTTTTTTACTACATTTTATTCATACTAAACAAGAATCATATTTGGGATATAAGTGGCATATAATCAAGGAATACCTACCCCACAAAAAGTAGCCAATCTGAAAACTATGGTATCTTAGTCCTTTCCCCTAGGAAAACAAACATTATTACTTGATTATATACACAAGGTCTGGTTATGAGGCTACCTCCTCCGCAGGCCATACAGCTCGTAATGAGGATGCCCGTTCGCAGGTTGAAATTTGAGACGATTTTCCAACCAATTTTATATTTTTGAAAGGCCTGCGGAGGAGGTAGGTTATGAGGTACTCTGCAATCTGATTAGTGATTGGTTCTCTACTGGCAAGATATTAGCTCATATCCTGCTAGTAGAGAAAAACAAAATGGCGGCTCAAACTGAATTTCCGAGAAAACGGCAAGTTGTTCGCTTTTTATAGCCTTTACAAGATTAAAAACACAATGAAAAACTCCCACAAATTGTTTACAGGTTAGCAAATGAATTTTTAAAATTTAAAATGGTCAAAATATATATACTTTTAAAAACATAATCGGCTGAAAGAGTGAAGATAAAAACATAAACAAAAATAGAAAAATACTGAAAATATCCGAAAAGCAAAGTCTGCAAACTCAGACCTTGTGCATGCATATAATAAAACAGTTATTCCACTCACTCTCGTCGAATATGAGCGATAGCCGATTCGGCGCTACGCGCCTCATCGACTATCAGCTCATCATTCGACTCGAGTTCAACTGTTAAATATTCAAAGTGGCTTACTTTGAACTGGTTACGGCTAGCTGTTTATGCTTGTTTTTGTTTTTAAACAGTAAAAACATGCTCGTCTATTCAGAGCTCAATAAATAGACTTGACATTTCGCAAGATAAACTTGTTGACAATCAAGATAAACTTGTTGACCGTACACACAAAACTTGTCAAGAGAAACTTGTCAAGGAAAAAATGCTCGTCTCTGTAAGGTGCTTAAACGTTGAAAATTTCATACTAAAAGGGAAATATCACGAAGTATATCGCTCATGAACTTACAATCATGAACTGTGACACACTAATCGTCCGAGGAATAAAAGATTTATCTCCTTTGAACATCCTTAGCATGTTGTTTCTACAGATAAAATATAAAAAGAAAGCTTAAAATTGCGTGGAACCACAGGTTAAAAGTGGCCCCAGGTGTTTATAATACAGAAATATTCATATTCAACCATGCATGAATGAATGCAGCTATATATATTTTTTAAAGCGCAACTATAGGATTTGCATCATCCAAACCTGGTCAGGTGCCGGTGTCACAGGAGATTCGCCCCCCCAGGAGATTCGCCCCCCCCTCTCAAAAGGGGGGCGATATTCCTAGGATATTCGCCCCCCCGGGGCGAATCTCCTAGGAATATCGCCCCCCAGGGGGCGAATCTCCTAGGAATATCGCCCCCCTTTAGGAATTTCGCCCCCCCCCATATAAATTTTGAATTTTTGATCTAAGAACAAAACGATTGCAAGTTGAAAAGATGTATTGTGTGATTTATTTATTTATTTATTACAAGGAGACAAAATCACATACACATTTTAAGCTTCTTAGCAGCTGGTGGTTTGCACATTCTGCATAACCACTCATTTGAGGTACTTAGACTAGTGTCAATGTGTCCTATTCTACGAGGGGCATTTCACTCCAAAAATCCCGTACACTTCGTCAAAAAATCCGGAAAAAATCCGAACAAATCCGGAAAATCCAACAGATTTTCTCTTCAAAATTCCGCTAAAAATCCGGGAAAAATCCGTTAAATCCGCTAAAAAATCCGCGGATTTTTAAAAATCCAAAAATCCCGTACGCTTCAGCGAAAAATCCGGAAAAAATCGGAACAAACCGGAAAATCCGCACAAATTTTCTCTTCAAAAATCCGCTAAAAAATCTGGGAAAAATCCGCTAAAAAATCCGCGGATTTTTAAAAACCCGAAAATCCCGTACGCTTTTTTGAAGTGAAAATGAAATGCCCCTCGATATTCTACACATCTAAAGTGGAACCATTGCCCACAGAGATCGCATAAAATCATGTTGTCGTATTCTTCTGGCAGTTACATTCACATAACATATTATAAAAACAATCGCTTGCAAATTTTATCAATACCAGTGTTAACAATAGCCGCCACATTAATCACTTGCTAACAATAAACTATAGGATTAATAAAAAATCTATGGAATTTGTTGGGAAGCGTATTCACTATTGTCCATTGAATCGTCAACTTTCCATGTCAGTGTCAGTGTCAGTGATGTAATCTTGATTTTTAACTTCCGCAAAGAAAATTGCATTATACTGTATATATATGTGGTGTGGTTTATTAAAATAATTTCATGATATTTTGATTTTATTAGTGCCTTAAACATTTGAGAATGTAACTCTGCAAAACTAAAAGCTTTTTTGTCTTTTTTGAAACGTATATTATTGGAGTATTGGGCTTATTGGCAAGTTCTACTCTTCGCTTCTGAAATTTACGGCTACATTGAAATAATGCCAGTAAAAAATAGTGACAACTTGTAAGCCATACATTTTCCGATAACGACAAAATTGGATGCAAAACAATACCAATAATTACAATAACCACCACGGTGATTACTTTTTAACAATGAGTTTAAGGATTAACACTGAAAATGCAAAATATGCATAGTGTGCTGTGAAGCGTCATAAGTCTTATTCTATTAACTGTGAACTGTGTAAGTCCTTTCGATACATGTAATTGTAAATTTGTATTCTTACAGGGCTTGAAATAACGTTCCCAAAGTTCTTGATCATGACTTTCCCTGATTTTTCAGGTTGTAAACCGAAACCCTGCTTTTCCGCCGATCATAAGCAATTCCATGCCGATCATTGATCGGTTGTTATTTCAAGCTCTGTCTTAACAATTTTGAATTGATACTGATTTCAAATGACTAAAGCCATGTAATAATTATCCCATGCAACTGTTAGGAAGGGCGAAATTTTGAACGGAGGACAAAAATCCTAAAGAAAAGGTGAAGTTTCTAAAGGGGGGCGAATTTCCTAAAGGGGGGCGAATTTCCTAGGATTTTCTATAAGCCCGTCTGGGCAACATTGAGTATAATACAGTACAGGGTGTATAAAAAAAACGCAACCTCGGAATTTCCTAAGAAATCACTTTGCAATTCTTAAGCATAAAAGATTTTAGGGAATTTAGGCCCCTGGGAATTGAAATCGAATTGCTAATAGATCATATTACTGTTGTTGTGCATTAAATAAATGCATAAATTTTCCTTTATGCACTCGCGTGTGCAGCAATTTTGACAGTTGTGCTATTTTAAATTCCCAGGCGCCTAAAATCTTTTGTCTTTAAAACAATGTCGATTTCTTGGGAAATTCCAAGGTTTATACACTCTGCATGTCGCGTTTTGTAACGGCATTCATAATAACCAGTGTGGATTATAACAATTTTGCTTGGTCTGACAAATCTCTGCTAAAGCGTGCAGTGGCTATAATGCTCGGCCATGCAGCTTTTCATTATTTAATGCATGATAGGTTGTTAGTGCCCTTTTGGGAAACGTGTGGCATTGGGAGTCCAGTCTGCGAGCTTCCAGTGTTGATTCTTACAAATTAAATTTGAATCTCAAATGAGAATAATTTCAATACTCAGACAATAGCCTTTACATGCAATTCCAAACGTTGGAAAAATGCGATTTCGAGTTATACAAAAAACTAAGGCATCATTCGACAGCTAAAAGCCTCTCTATATACAGGGTGTATAAAAAAAAGGTAATCGAACTTCAGCGCGCTATTGTATCCGAATTACTCTGCGTATGAACGAGATATTTTAACACATTCGGAAAGATCATGCTTTTAGCTGTTGAATGATATCTTCTTCATGCCAAATGGATAAAAAATGAGCAAATACGAATCCGATAAAAAATCTTAGTCAGAATTGCATATTTTCACCGTTGAGAGTTAGGTCGAAAACGATTGAAAATGAATTCCCCTTTAGGACTTAAGTTGATGAATTTCACTTCATTAAGCCTGCAGCACACGAGAGCTATGTGCTGAGCAAAAAGTTACTCGTGCCTGTTAGCTCAGCCGATAGCTCACCGTGTGCGGGTACATTTTACTGAGTTTTTTGCCTCATGCAACCTTTTCTCGCGTATCAAACATGTTTGATCGGTGAGCTATCTGCTGAGCTAACAGGCACAAGTAACTTTTTGCTCAGCACATAGCTCTCGTGTGCTGCAAGCTTTAGGGCCTGTTTATATGATCTCGGCCAGGCGGGACGGGATGCTTACCGAGATCCCGCTCGTAATACAAATTCTAAAGAGTGTTTATATGATCCCGCCACTTATCCCGCCTAGACGGGATCTCGGCAACAGATACCGGGATCCCGCCCGAGCGAGATGAAAAATTCCCATATTACCGAAATCAGTAGAGTGTCTTTTCCGGAAGTTGAAAAGACAGTCGAAAGCCAGTAGAAACGTTCATGTTTTATGACGTCACGGTGAAGGAATGCAGCGTGGAACTTGTAAGTTATTTTACTTATTAGTAAACTTTATTTAGTTTGACAAATTGCCCAAGGCCCGCCAAGCACAAAACAAGCTTTTGACAAAGGGAGAAGTTCTAGGGTGAGGCGGTAAAACCGATGTTTTTTGAAAACCGAATTACTCGATGTTACTTTTGGAGAAAGACCGGAAAACCGAAAAAACCGGAGGAAAACCGAAATCGAACCATACTTATCGGGTCTGTTGCAAATGAATCAACTTTGGCATTTACACACGAAAACTAAAGAGATTTTGTTTAAAATTTGATAACATCTTCAAAATACCTTACGTTTAATATCATTCTACAATTTCGCGCGAGGTTGAGGTCTTGAACGGATAAGCGGATCAAACGATGGTGAATTTTGATTCGCTGGTAATAAAGGCGGACGTCTGCGAAGACAGGTTTAAGATATTCATATAGCGTGTTGTGTCTTTTTTAAACCGTAGTTTCGATTTTCGAACATATTTTTAAAAAAAAAACCCGGTTCACTCGGTTTTTTCGGGGTTTTTTGGTCGGTTTTCGGTTTTTTGTAGAAACCGCCTCACACTAGGGAGAATCTTTATTCGTGGGAAGGCACTTAAGTAAAGTTTACTAATAAGTAAAATAACTTACAAGTTCCTATACAATAACTTACAAGTTCCACGCTGCATTCCTTCACCGTGACGTCATAAAACATGAACGTTTCTACTGGCTTTCGACTGTCTTTTCAACTTCCGGAAAAGACACTCTACTGATTTCGGTAATATTAGATAAATTTAGCATAGCAGTAGCCTCGTGGGGATGCTTTCAGCGACAGCTGCAAATGCAAATGAAAATTTAGAATATGCAAAATTTGGTTGTTGGTGACATAATAAATAGATGAATTGCATCAGTTTCACAAGGCACGTTTCTGATGTGTTAGGCTTGTTTCAAACGTCACGCTACTCGTGTGCCGAGCGTATTAAAAGCAATAAATAATGAGATGAAATGCCTTTGGTAGCTGTTTATTTCGTAGTGTAAGCCATCAAGCTTTTCTAGGTTGTCGGCGACCCTATATAGTTCTTGCAGTGTCTTTTTAAATTTGAAACTTCACACTATCCTTGGATCCCTAGTTATGTCACGTCCGCGTCGTAGATTTAGTGCATCTTAAGCTCGCTAATAAGTAAATTTTGAAGCCAGAATATTTTTAATAAGGAGAGATTTTTAAATCTAGGACCCTTTACAAATCGAATCGTTGCGTGTTGAAGTTATGTCTTACTATAAACAAATGTTGTTTCGCATGCAGGGCTGCCACTCTCCGTTCCCTATTTTCACCTATGGCGGGCACTGAAATCCCCTACGTTTCCCCTACAGCACGATATGCAATTGTCCCCAATGTTCCCCTACGTTCCCCTACAAATATTGTATTTTCCCTACTAATATTATGAAGTTTTTTAGCGGACAAAATATCTGAAATGTATCAATCGAGTTTATGCGCTATAAATTGATGTTATGTGCTATACATTGATGTTATGTGCAAATACATCGATGTCATAAACTGATACAACTAAAAGATAAACTGATACAACTAAAAGATAAACCGATACAAATAAAAGA